GATCCCAGCTCAGGCAGCCGAGCCCAGCGTCTACCCTTCCCAACCTCGGGGCAGCGCCGCCGCCGAGTGTCAGCTGCTGCTACTGTAACTAGTCCCACTTCAGGGGAGAGGCTGGGTGCGCGGGCTGCCCTCCCAGGACCTTGATCTCCGTCCAGCCCCCCGGCGCCCGCGGGCTCCACGCACCTTGGCGTCGAGCGTGCGCTTGAGCTCCAGCATGTAGGAGAACTGCTCCGGGTAGATGTAATCGTACGGGAAGTAGACCAGCAGCCCGTCCACGTTGAGCCTGGCGACGGGGCTGTCCGGTCAGTTCCGCGGCCCCTCGGCCCCTCTCCGGCCCCTCTCCTCCCCAGTCGTCGGGCCGAGAGAGGTTACCTGCCCGGCCCGGCCCGTCGGACCCACCCGGACGTACCCCAGTTCCCCAGGAGCCTCCGGGTCCCCTCGGCATCGCCCCGTTGCCCATCCCCGTTACCGCACCGTAGGTCCCCGAGTCTGTCCCACCCTCACCCCCCCGGTCACCCCTCGCCCCGCAGCGGCCCCGAGCGCGCCCTCCAGTCCCCCCATCTTCCAGGACCCCGCTCCCGCTAGTGAGCCGCAAACCCCGGCCCCTCTCACTTCATGGCGCCGGTCGCGGCTGGAAGCGGCGTCAACCCGCCTCCCTCATGAATATTCAATGAGGCAGGTCCGTGGGGCGTCCTCGAGGCGTCGCTCCACCTTCCTCGCAACGCCATTGGTTGATCCTTCCCGTCACTCTACTGGGGTGGAGCCAATCGGGATAGTGCGCGTGCGCACGGCAATGAGAGGGTGGGCTCCCAAGAGAGGCCCGCGTCGCTGAGGAGCGCCGAGGACCAAGAACGAAACAGGCAAGGAAGAGAACCGAGAGAATCGATCCCATTCATTAGGATTCGGGCTTCCCGCATCTGCCCGGATTATCTGAGGAGCGAAGAGCTTCTAGGCGCAGCGGTGTGGGTCGCGCGACCCCTTTGGTGGTCCAACGACCCTCTCACAGGGGTCGCCTAAGACCATCCTGCATATCAGATATTTACATGACGATTCATAACAGTAGCAACATTACAGTTATGAAGTAGCAACGAAAATAATTTTATGGTTGGGTCACAACATGAGGAACTGTATTTAAAGGGCCAGAAGGTTGAGAACCACTCTAGGGGAAATGACAGGGAAATTGGGAACGCCTTCAGGGCCCAGGAGTTAGGAATGGCTTCGCCTACCAGACAAATATGCACTTATAATACCTGCTGTGCCCTAAACTCCTCTGGGATAAATAACGCCCC